CGGGAGTATTATTATAAAAAAAAATTAACCTACTGCCGAACAACAGCAAAGAAAAAATCGAATTGTTAATCGCATCTTGGATAATTCAACAAATATTCGAATCTCACGCCGATATTGTTAGAATGTGTATTGTTACAAAGTAATAGAATATTTCGTCGGAAATGTCGTTAATATGTTTATAAAAATACAAAGTAACCCAAAGCGTTTTTTTCCGTAAAGTTTCGATAAGAGTTCCGCTAGGCAAAAGCAAACTGTATTTTACCGACGTATTGAAATTCGAGCGAGTGCTACATATCGGCGAGACAACACTAAAAGAAACATATGCATGATATTTTACTGATTGAAATAAGATTGTGTTTACTATGGCGGATTTCTAAAAGTAAGAATATTGTTCGGCCGCGGAGTTAGTATGTGTCATGCGATAAGGAGATTCCGCGGCATATTAGTCGGTTGCCTGGTTCGCCCCCCTTGTGGTGGGGATGGAACTTTTACTTTCGCTCTTTCCGAAAAACCGTTGGGGCAGGAATTCTGTTGCGCATTTAACGAAGGATATTACGTTTCAGCGTTTCTCGATTCGTTTTTGCTTCGTAATAATCCAACCATGATAATTGAACGTTTGTTAGTATGAACGTCGGTTGTATTTTTATGGAAAAAAAAAACAATGCCGAACTCGCAAAAATAAACGAATCTTCGGTAATTGAATCCTACGATAATTGAATTAATATGAAAGTCGTGATTATTTAAAAAAAAAAAAAAAGGGAACCCAATGTCCAAAGCGTTTGTATATTCACCGGTATTAGCTTGGTATTTCCGACGTTATATTAACGAATTACTTGGTAATAATATCGATTCGATTATTTTATCAGCCGAGTATTTGGTATTAACCCGATATTTCCGGTGGTTTAATGTACGAAGATTCAATTAAGTTTCCGGCGGTCTACCTTGACTTGAATCGTTCCTTCCTGTAAACGGGGTGTTAATTTTTGTTGCATGTGTCGCCGAACGTGCTGCTTCTTTGTTGCAGTTTCGCGTGATCGTGTCGCATCCGTCCATCGGTCCTCCACGGTTCAGAAGACAATCATCGGACGATTTACAACAATTGTCGCAAGTTACGTTCCTCTGTTGTTATTTTTGTAATGTTTCGACTGATGTATCTTCTTCACGCAGGTACTGATCGTCATCCGCCGGTTGAGACAATCATCGGGCGATGTGCAACAATTACGGCAAGTACCGTCTTTCATTCCTCCACCATTCCTCTCTCTTTCGTCAATCGCATCGTCGGGAATGTTTTTATAAAAAAAAAAAAAAAAAAAAAAAAAAACTAACCTAATGCCGAACTGACCTTCGTAGAACTGACTCGAGCGTCCTTGAATCGTTATTTCCGTTCCTTCCTGCAAACGGGGGGTGGTATCGAGGCTTTTGTTATTCGACTGTTTTATTTTTCACGCATGTATCGCCGCTGCTGCGAAGATTCCGCTGGATGTTGTCCTTCACCGACACAACGCAATTCTTCGCTGCCGTCGCATCCGGCCATCGGGCGATTTACAACAATTACGCAAGTAACGCTTGTCAATTGTTCTAATGTTTTTACCGATGTATTTTTTTACGCAGGTAGGTGGTGTTCTGCGATTCCATTCACCCGTCATCATGTCGGGGTTGTCTGCAATCATCGGACGTTTTCGACAGCGGTCAATTACGTTAAGTACTGTTTGATTTATTTCGCATATATTTGTCGAACAACCATTAAAAACCTTATCTCTGTTTACATGTCGAAGCGGATCAGTTCGTCATCCAGCTTCAATGCAGAAGAAGAAGAGAGGGTTGAATTGTAACATGTATAAAAAAAAAACTTGAATTGATTCTGTAACACAGTTGTCCGAAATCATGGGGTGGTGAATAAATACGGTTTTAGTGATTTAAGAGAATGAATGTTTCCTGTGCACAGGGTGTGGCATGTTGCTTATTGGTTGTATCTTGTAGTGTATTGTAGTTTGTTGTAGTTTGTTGTGTGGTATTATTGTTGTGTAGTATTTGTATTGGTGGTATACGCTTTCCTTGTGTGTGTGCAAATGCTATTTAATTTATTTTCAATGTTCGAGGTACTCTCGGATGGGAGCAAAGAAGAGCAAATAAGGAATTGTTGTAAGGTAAAAAGAAAATGTAACCCGAACTTTTGAATAATATATTTTTGATTCCAGTTGTTGATTCGTCGGTGTTCTGCAGAATGGACGACGACCAAGGACGAAATTTCATCGGTCAATGACGTTAAGTAATGTTTGATTAATTGTACATATATGTGTATTGGTACACAATCCTTATCTCTGTTTGCATCTAGGATCTCTGCAGTTCGTCATCCATGCCGGTCTTCTCTGAGATGAAGAAGAAGAAGGGGTTAATCCGACCGTCGGTAGTATGTATATTATATATATAAAAAATCCGAACTTTTTAACGAGATACGTTTCATTCTGTACCATAGATGGTGATCCATCGGTGGTCTAGGACGACATGGTCTCGCCCTGCTAGGAAGGAGGAACTATTACGTTAAGTAATGTTTCATTGATTGCACATATATTCTTGGAAATACCATTAAAAACCTTATCTCTGTGTGCATCTAGGATCTCTGCAGTTCGTCAGCCAACGCCATTCCAGAAGAAGAAGAAAGTGTGGAATCCAATGGTATCATCGTTAACCGTCCGCAGTATGCATATAAAAAAAATTTAACCCGAACTTGTTAATAATATATTTTTGATTCCAGTTGTTCGTCCATCGGGGTTGTCCGAAATCGGAACTACAGCAGTCAATTACGTTAAGTACTGCTTGATTTATTGTACATGCATTTTTGTGGAAATACGCTGAAAACTGTCATCTCTGTATGCATCTAGGAGCGGATCTCGTCCCACTGTCATTCAACGCCAGAGGATTCTTCTCTGCGAGATGAAGAAAAAGAAAGGGTTAACCTGACCGTCGGGAGTATGTATGTATAAAAAAAATGTAATCCGAACTTTTTAAGGAGATATGTTTCATTCTGTACCACAGTTG